TTAATATTTATTTTTTAGTTTTCGGCAGACACAACATCTTTGTTTGTATGTGGTGCTGAGGATCAAACCCGGGCCGCACTCATGCCAGGCGAGCGCGCTACCGCTTGAGCCACATCCCCAGCCCTCTGAGACTGTTCTTGAACTTGCAATCCTCCTGCCTTAGCCTCCCAAGCCTCTGGGATTACACCACCAAACCTAGCCTCACATTTTTTTTTAAAGTAAAAAGTCTAATATATCCACTTAAATGGAGATACCTGGAGTAGTCAGTTTCATAGAAAGTAGAATGGTGGCTACCAGGGACTGGGAGTGGGGGAAATTATGAGTTAGTGTCCAGTTGGGTACGAAGTTTCACTTTTAGAAGATGAAGACCTTTCTGGAGGTCGACAGTGGTTTTGGTTATAGAATACATTAAGTACACAATTACCAGGGAGCTTGAGGCAGGAGCATAACTTGAGCCCAGGAGTTTGAGGATAGCCTAGGCAACATAGCAAGACCTCATCTCAAAAGAGAGAGAAATGGTTAAGATGGTAAGTTATGGTGTATTTTTTTTTAACCACAATTTAAAAAAATCTAAAATCTTTTCCTAGTCAGGTTCACAACAGAAACTGTCAAATAAAAAGACCACATATTCAAATCAGCAGAAAGCATGGTCCATGGTAAATATTTACTTTCTCAACAAATCTCCAAATCCAGATCATGAGGTGTAGGAGCTTCTATTATTTCAAGTCCAGACAGAAGTCACTTGCCCAACACCACACAGCAAGCAAGAGGCCTAACCAGGTTTGCCTGACGACAGAGCCCAGGACCTTACATCAGGGCCTTTACCATGTTGAACACTGACCTCATTCTCTTTGGGCCTGGCTGGCCACAGGCCCCTTCCCCTCAGTGCACTCTGCTCTCCAGCTGTGGGGTCAGGAACAGAGGCCTATTGTTGGCAGAGCCCCAGGTATTGCAGGGTCCTGGAGAAATAAGGGGGCAGGGGTGCCAGAAGCTCCATGGGGGTGTCCCTGGGCCCAGGGCCTGGGAGGAGAAGACGATGCAAGTGAAGGTGCAAGGGCAGCTGGGAAGACTGGGAGGGAGTCAGGTCGAGGCATCTGAGGAGAGCTTCATCCAGGACCTGGAGAGGAGTGAGTGAGCACTCAGCCACCCATGTTCCCACCAGCTAAGGACCAGCTCTAATCTAAATGGTAGTGAAGTAAGCACCTCCTCCCTCCTCCTCCCCTTCCTCTTATGGCCTACAGCTATTATTCATTTCCTCTCTCTGTAGGAAGACACACATGCATGCACATACACATTCTGGTTTGGGGTCCACCAAACCAGTTTTCTCCTGGCGCACAGCTAAAGCTTCTTCTGTAACCCCTCATGCAGTTTGGTAAGGCCATGTGATTGAGCTCTAGCCACTGAGTGGAAGTACACATGCCACTTCCAGACCTGTTTCATAAAATCCTCATCCATATGAATCTACACTGTCATCATCTGGCTGGATTATCAACAGCCTGGGCTCCTGAGTGCCTGGAACAAAGCCCACTCCACATCCACTCCCATGTAATAGATTTCATGTAAGGAGGAGATCACTGATTCAGAGCCTGGACGTCAGGATTACTTGTTAGAGTAGGCAGAGGGGCCCTCATACACACAACCTGTGTTACTCCCCTGCACCAGACTCAAAGAACATCAGACTCAGAAGGGCTTTTAGAAATCAGACACTTCAACTCCCTTATTGAACAGATGGGCAGAATGAAGCCCAAGAAAGCAAGTGTTTGAGCCACACAGCAAGACAGGGGTACAGACAGCCCTGGAGGCCAAGAGGGATGTCTCCTAGTCCCAAGCTACATAGCTAATACCTGGAGATGCTGGCCACCCTCACCCCCAAACCTGGAAGGAAGTAGGAGCTTGGTACCTGACTCTGGGGCTTGGTGCTCTGGGCTGACAACAGGAAGCGCTGACCCAGGACAGTGCCCAGGCGAGCAGAATAGGTGTGGTCCCCAAGCAGAGGGCAGAGTTGCAGCATCATGTGTACCTGCAGCTGACCAGGGAACACTGGGTGACAGGACACAGGAGAGATGATGGGCAGCTCCTGTTTTCATCTCAGCCAGAGCTATCCGCCCTGCTCCCCTCTGGGGAAACACTACCCCATTCTCAGATCACAAGGAGGCGGTGAGGTAGCCCCTGCCTTATGGGCAGGGCACAGGAGCAGCTCAGGACTGTCACCTGGCAATGTGCCTAGCCTTTGGGGCTCTTCACCCTGATGTCTCCACCTTCTGGCAAAGAGGACTGCTCTTTCCTGCTGGGGTGCTCAACTGTGGAGAGTGACACTGGAGTGGTCACTTATACCCTTAGGTCCATCAAATGCCCCCCAGGCTTTTAGGGAGTCACCCTCTTCCACCCACCCACCTTGCCTCCCAGATCCAAGTACAATTCTAAAGGCCGTGAGGCTCCAGACCCACCTGTCAGTGGCTGCAGCTGGACCAGGGCACAGCCTGAGCCTGTGGCCATCACACGGAAGTGGCTGAGAGTCCTTTTGACTCCTTCCAGGATGTCCTTTCGGGATGGGGACTTTACTGGAACTGCCTGTGGTGTGAGCAAACTTCACATATACCTGGGAGCTATACCCTGTTCCCAATAGACTCAGGCTAGGCCCATAGTATAAGAGAAGGTCACCCACTTATGTTAGGGGACAAGAGAGAGCCAGCCACCCCAGTCTGGACCTGGGATTCCTCTGCAGGACTAATATATCTGGAGGGACCCCTCTACTTCCCTGCCAGTCCCCAACTCACAAGATTGACGCCATCAAAGCATTCCAACCTCAGGGCAGCCTGGATCTTCCCCTCAGCAGTAGCTGGGATCCCATTGGTGATGGCACTGAGAATGGTGACAGGAGGAGGTCACCAAGTGGCTTTCTGGGACCTCCCCATTGTTCTAGAAGCCCTCCCCTCACTCTCACCAGTAGGTGRCTGTGGGTCTCTGGGCCTTTCTTGAGTGGGTGAAGAACTTCTGGAGGCGGCTTGCTGTCTGGGGACAACTGGAGAGAAGTACAAGCCCAGAGGCCTCCCTAAAAGAACAGGATAAATCACACAGGTTACTTTGGGCTTGCTCACAAAAAAGGAGACCCTATGAAGGAACAATGACTCACTTAAGGGCAAAAAGAAACGCCAGGACTATCACCCAGACTTCCTGAGAAAAAGGGAAGGTCTCCCCTTGTTGAATACCAAGACTATGTCGCTCAATGTATTTCTCATTTTGCCCTTGCTCCCAGGGAACTCAGAGTCAAATGTCAACAATGAGCACCAATTACTAAGTGTCTACCAAATGCCTGGTGCCGTACCTGGAATTTTACATATACTAACTGTCAAATAACTACATTCTCCATCTGCATCACTTACTTCCCAGGTGCTTGGACAATGTGAAGCTCCTGCTCGCTGAGCCCCAGGGACTGACTCAGCTCTGGCAGCACTGAGAGCAATGTAAGCTCTCCCGATTTTCCTGGAAAATAAGAGGGGAAAGTACAAGTTCCTGCCAGAAGCCAAAGCTGAATTCCACCATCCCCTTCTATTCATATTCCCCCTCTCAGACACATTGAACCCCCTTTCATTGCATTTCCTCCCCATAGCCCTTGCTCATACCTGTCACTGGCAGACCCTGGGGCTTGTTCAATGTCACTAGGGGTCCTGAAACATACATTGCAAGAACAGCAACAAAGGCAACGTTAAATCTTTATGCAGAACTTAAGAATTTACAAAGCACCTTCCCATTCATCTTAGCATGGGACACCACAAGGACGCTTGGACAAGAGTTATCAACCTCACATAAGCCAAACTCCCTGCCACCTCAGGGCCTTGGCACTTGCTGTTTCCACTGCCCCAGATTTTCACAGGCCTGGCTCCATATCATCCTGGCTCAAATGTCATGAAACAGAGGTGTGAATTCCCAATGTACTGTGTCCCCCCACCCAGTTCCTTGCCATCATAACATCCTGATTAACAGACTGATTTTTGTGGTACTGGGGATAAAACCTAGGGGCACTTTCTCTACTCCTGAGCTATATCTCCAGCCCCCACCTTTTTTTTTTAAACTACTTTTTTTTTGTACTGAGGATTGAGCCCAGGGGCACTTTATCACTGAGCTTCATCCCCAGTCCTTCTTAATTTTTTATTTTGACCCAAGGTCTAGCCAAGTTGTCCAGGCTGGCCTTGAACTTACAATCTTCCTACCTTAGCCTCCTGAGTCTCTGGGATTACAGGCATGATAACTCTGTTTTAATTTATTCAAAGCACTGATCACTAGTAACATTTATTTGCTGATTAAGCAATTTCTCCCACTAGAAGTAGGATAGGAACCATTTCTCTCACAGCACTGCAGAGTCCACCCAGGACAGTGGGTGGCACATGTTCAGCACATAATTGAGGAAATGAACAAATCATTAAAGGTTCAGAGTTTACCAAAGTTCAGGAAAATGAGGTTATTTTTCAAATGTCACACAGCAAACTGCTTACAGAATCTAGATACATGTGACTCCAAAGTTAGTATTTTGACAATCAATGAACAATTTATCATTACAGCAATTTTTGTTACTGATTGCCTACTATTGGTAAGACTGCCTGGTTATTTACACCCCAGCCCCACCACCCTATTCCCATAATGCTGAGGCTCAGAGAGATTATGTGGCTAGTCGCAGTTTACGCTGCTAGTGGGAAACAGAAAAGGATTTGGCTCCAGGGCTGTAGCCAAAACCCCAGAAGGCTGGCTCAGGAGTGAGTCTCGGTTCTGGGTCTCTGTGCAGCAGTCCCTCCATCCCTCACCTTTCTGGTCCACCACGGCTTCCCTAAGCACATCAACCAGCTCCTCCCTGCTGAGGTTCTTTGGCTGCAGCACCCCCGGGAAGGGCTGGTCCCGGGGGACACCCGACCGTTTACTGGAGCCTTGTGGTTGCAGCTGATTCCTGGAAGAGGTGGGAGAAGCAACAGGGGAATCACTGGTTTGGCGAAGTCCATTCCATTTCTAACTCCGCCCACCTCTTCTCAAATCCTGCCTCCTCCAAAAGCCTCAAAATGTCCAAGCTGGGTTTTTGGAAAAATTGAGGTTCGACTTTAACTTCCACTTTACAGCGGAAGGCTCTGAGGTTCAGACAGGCTCAGGAACTAGTTTAGGGTCACACAGCGGAACCAGGATTGGAACCTACAACGTACTTAAATCCTTATTTTGTACATCCCCTCCCCCTGTCGTAATCTCCCTCCTACACGAAGGTGGGGGAGCTTAATCACCGGGATTTGGTGCTGTAGCCTGAATCCTTGGGCGGTGCGTGGGCCCCCAGGCCCCTCCACCAGCCACTCGTGCCCCGACCCCAAATACGGAAGCCACCCATCTTCTGAATAAGACTAGTGCGCATGTGCGTTCAGAAGGGCGTCCTGGCTCACCCACTGCACGGTGATTGGTCAAGTCAACTGTCAATCCGAATATTGGGGGAGGGACTGAGAACCTTGAGAAGGTGGGGCTTTGCCTCCGCTCGGGAGGGAAAGCGTAAATTCGCGCTGTTGATTTAGGACAAACCAAAGCGCTACAGCGGTGTTTACCCGGGGTGGAGATCTAGTTTTAAGACAAAACCAGTAAGGGCGAGGTGTTCAGATTGCCGTTCAAACTCTTAGGAACCTTCCAATTTAAAGCTACCAGTGTCAGGGCTGGAGATGAGCTCAGGGGCAGAGCTCCTGTCCTGGCTCGTGTCACCACCGCAGGCTAAGGGCGCTGTCACTTTCAAATCATTGCTCGCATTAGCAAAAGACTATAAATAAATCTAAATCCATCGAGAGGAGTGGTTAAATCAATTGCAGCACGCACATACGTAAGTTTATTGTGAGTTCCAAGTAAATCAAACTTCACAACATATGAAATCAAAAAAGCAAAGTAAAGGGGCCGGCGCAGTGGCGCACACCTGTAATCCCAGCGACTCGGGAGGCTGAGGCAGGAGGATCTAGAGTTCAAAACCCTGTCTCTAAATAAAATACAAAATAAGGCCGGGGAGGTGGCTCAGAGGTTGAGTGCCCCTGAGTTCAATCCCCCTTACCAAAAAAGAAAAGTAAAGCACAGTGCGACTAGAACATACACACGTGTGTGTATATATTTATTCATTGTGTTATATACTAATCTATTTCTTAAAGGCATACAGAAATGGGGAGGAGTCAAAGGAGATGCTATGGTTTGAACGTCTCCCCAAAATTCAGGTGTTGGAAATTTATTTCTTAGATTTATATTAATGGCACTTGGAGGCGGGGCCTTTGGGAAGTAGTAAGGATTACATGAGGTCATGAAGGTGGGGCCCACATGATGGCATTAGTGTCTATGTAGGAAGATAGACCCTCTTCCTCCAGAGCAAGAAAGCTCTGGTTGGGGGGGGTGGGGGGGTGCGTAGAAGTTCAGTGGATTAGGGGAAGGGAGGGGGTATAGAAAAGACAGTAGAATGAATCTTACATAACTTTGTATGTTCATGTATGAATACATCACCAATGAAACTCCACATCATGTATGGGATCCTAAGTAGAGGAAGTTATACTCCATGTGTGTATAATATATCAAAATACACTCTACTATCATGTATATATATATTTTAAATATTTTTATATGTTTATTTTTTAGGTGTAGATGGACACGACGCAATGCCTTTATTTTTTTGTGGTGCTGAGAATCAAACCGGGGTCCCGCCCATGCTAGGCCAGTGCTCTACCGCTGAGCCACAATCCCAGCCCCTGTCGTGATGTATATCTTAAAAAAAAAAAAAAAAAGACCTCGCCATATGCCCAGAACAACCTATGCCATACACTTGGATTTGGCAGCCTACAGAAAATGAGCTAAATAAACTATTTTTAAAATAAATTACCTAGTTTCAGCTATTTTGTTATAGCAACAAAAAACAGACAAAGGTAGAGATAAATATGATTAATTATTTTTATCCTTTAGGACTTGTTATGGTTTGGGTATGAGGTGTTCCAGGAAAAGTTCATGTTAGGCAGTGCAGAAAAAGTTCAGAAGTGAAACTTTCGATTTTGAGAACTGTAACCTCACCAGTGGATTAATCCATTTGATAGATTAATAATTTGGATTACTGGATGGTAATTGCAGGCAGATTGAGTATGACTGAAGAAAACAGATCACTGGAGTGTGCCTTTGGGGATTATAATTTTGTCTCTGGCTCCTTTAACTCTTTGTTTCTGGGCTTCCTTGCGAAGATCAGTGCTCCTCCATCAGGCCTCCCGCCATGATGTCCTTGCCTCATGGGGACCCTGAGCAATGGAGTCAGCTGACCACGAACTAACCCTTTGAAAGGTGAGTCAAACTAAACTTCTCCTCCTCCAAATTATTCTTGTCGGGTTTTCCAGTTATAGTGACAAAATGCTGAAAAACACAAAACTACTCAAATTTTTTACTTCGTCAATGTATTTCTTCTTCACACCCTTGCACACAAAGTTTAAAAACCTAAGCCAGAGAGCTGGGGTTGTGGCTCAGCTGTAGAGCGCTTGCCTCCCATATGTGAGCCACTGGGTTTAAGCCTCAGCACCATAAAAATAAAGGTATTGTGCCTATCTGTAACTAAAAAAAAAAAAGGAAAAAGTCCGGTGTGGTGACACACGCCTGTAATCCCAGCAATTTGGAGGCTGAGACAGGAAAATCACAAGTTCGAGGCCAGCCTCAGCAACTTAGCAAGACCCTCAGCATCTTAGTGAGACCTGCTAGCACAAAAAGACCAAATTTCACAAATCAGCTCAGTGCTTTTATTCAGGAACCAAAGTTTCACACACGAACAGGGGAAGCAGGGACGAAGTGACTGCATGGTGGGACCCACTTTCCTGGTGGAAAATGAGCCCCCGAACAAAAAAAGGGACTTGGATTATATAGGTTATCCTGAGAGGTGATCAGTTTTCTTGGGCACTCAGGAATTTGGAGTCTAATTGATCAGTGAATGTGTCAGTTTTAGTGATTAGGAATTTGGACTTTTGAGTTGGGGATCTGTGTTCCATGTCTGAGGGGAATTTACTCTGAGGGAGATCAATGCCTCCCAGATATTTGTTACTTTAGGTATAATGAAACACCTCCTCCCACCTGCAACAAGCATTTGTCTTGAGGGAAGAAAGCTGTCAATGGATGGTTTTCTTTCTCAGGTCATATTATCTTGGGGATTTTTCATTTTCCATATCTATTAAGACCCTGTCTCAAAATTAAAAAATTAAAAGGGCTGGGAATGTGGCTCAGTGATCCCAGTACCAAAAAAAAAAAAAAAAAAAGACACAACTAAACCAGATACAAAAGACTGATTTATAATATTTTTTAAATATGCAAAAATAGAAATTAAAAAATTAAAAGACAAAGTCAGGTGTGATCCCAGCACCTACGTAGATGGAGGCAAGAGGATCACAAGTTAGAATTCAGCCTTAGCAACTTAAGGAGTCTCTAAGCAGCTTAGAATGACCCTGTCTCAAAATAAAAAAAAAAAATAAATGGACAGGGGATGTCTGTAGCTCAGTGGTAGAGTGCCTCTGAGTTCAGCCTCCAGCACCTAAAAATTTTTAAAAAGACAAATACAGAAGTCTGGCCTTGTATAAATCTGTGATTCTCAGATTTGAAAATTATGTCATTCCTAACACTTAGTATAAAGCCTATTTGGATTCAGTAATTACTAAGACAAAGGGTTGGGTTACCAAAGCTAGTCTGGGAAGCTAATGCTGGCAGCTGTCCCCTGCCCTGCAGTTATGTGGGAAAAGCTCCCAAATTCAGCCAAAGAGAGCTTTCTACTCTGGGCTGTCCTGCAACTTGCAAGTTGTGGTGGAGGCTGGCTCCATGGGGTGGGTCTTCTGGCAGGGAGGCATAACATTTGTATTAGCACACAAGTTATTCCTGTTCCACTCTCACAGAAACAGTGGCCTACCCACTCTGTGCTCCCGTAAAGTTATTAATAACTGAGTTGGAGAGGGGCAGTGCAAGCTGGTTTGTCCCAAGCTCCATTCCTCCCAAGACCAGGAGTTTCACAAGTGAGTCTTGAGTGACTGACTGTGGTCTCTTGGCACTGAGCCCTCTCAGCCCAGGGGAAATTAGGTTCTTCCTTTTCTTCCAGGAGCTCAGGGTCTAATGGAGTCAAAGCAGCTGTAGGAAGTGAAGAGAAAAATGCAGTCCTTGGGGGAACTGGGGGGCTGGGAAGGCAAAATTCCAAAGAGCAAAGGAGCCAGGGCCTCTGGAGTGCCAGGGGCCAGTCCGAGTGGGAGAATGGCCTTTCCTGGACCAGGCACAGCCAATGGAGGAGAGGTCTGCTGCAACTTCGGTGGGCTGTGAGCCAGACCCTTAAACTTAGTTTTTCCTTAATTCTTGCTCCAACTGGTACTTGAGTGCAGAGAGGAACTTTAAAAAGGATTCTCAAATACTGAGAGCTTATAACAATGCAGTTATGCCGCAAACTGCCCGGCCCCGGGCCGGCTGAGTCCCGCTCCTGCTGCCGAGCACTGCCTGCGGCACCCCTGCTGAGCGATCCCCTGCTGAGCTGTCAGTGCACACGGGCTTGCAATCTTGCAACCCGGTTGGGCACAAAAACACAAGCCAGTCAAACTGAGACAAAGTTT